TTAATTTACAATTGTTGGCTAAATATTATTCATTGTATGTATATAGTATTGTTGTTGTGGTGATGGTGGTGGTTGTTATTGTTATTTTTAATATTGTTTTTATTATATTATTATCACAATTATCACTATTATCACTTTTATTATTATTATTATTATTATTATTATTATTATTATTATTATTATTATTATTATTATTATTATTATTATTATTATTATTATTATTATTATTATTATTATTATTATTATTATTATTATTATTATTATTATTATTATTATTATTATTATTATTATTATTATTATTATTATTATTATTATTATTATTATTATTATCATTATCATTATCATTATCATTATTATTGTTATTAGTGTTATTATTGTTATTATTGTTATTATTTTTATTATTGTTATTATTGTTATTATTGTTATTATTGTTATTATTATTATTATTATTATTATTATTATTATTATTATTATTATTATTATTATTATTATTATTATTATTATTATTATTATTATTATTATTATTACTATTATTATTATTATTATTATTATTCTTATTATTATTCTTATTCTTATTATTATTATTATCACTATTATTACTATTATCACTATTATTACTATTATTACTATTATTACTATTATTATTATTATTATTATTATTTTTATTATTATTATTATTATTTTATTTTTTAGTAATGGTTCCTTAACAGTTTTTTTGCACGTATTTTTATAGGAACATGACCTGAACCTTAAAACTAATGCCTCATTTTTCTAGGAACCAAACCGGGTTGTAACGATTCGATTCCAACCGATTCTACGGTACCCGGTTCCAAAATGTCACCCCAACTATTCACATTTTGTACTTTGATTGCATTTTATTTATTATAAATGTATAAGAAATTAATTTTTTTAAAACTATTGTTAATTCCTCTCATTTAAAATTTAAATTATGATTTTTAAAATTTTTAGCAATATCATAAGGAACGACGAAATATGCCAGCGGTCAAAGTTGTGCATTAACAAACTTGAAAATGGAAAGTTTTGACTAAGCTAAATGGAATAAAGGAAGACTATTGTTGCGGCCATGCAGAGATCAGATGAAAATAGTTATTTTGAGAGAGAGGATTTTTTTTATAGATATATAGGTATTTAAAACATACTACATACACATCTTATTAAATTCACAAAGTTGAAGAGATCGGATAGAATTACTATTTAAGCGGTTAGCGGTTAGCGGTTAGCAGATAACTTGTCATTTTAGCGGATTGTCAATGGCAGATTCAGTCTGCGGGTTTGAATAGCGGAATAAGTTGGCGGATTTCTATTTTTCAAAACGCTAACCCAAAACCCTCCTATTTGCAGTGTTTTCATTTCAACGATTTTGTCCAAAAACGCTAAGGTCGAACAACTATTTACCAAACAGTGTTTCCCGTTTATCGTAAACGCTAAAATGGGTCAAACCACCATTTTTTAGTTGAAAAGTCATCTTCCAAACACCCCCATTATGTAATTTAAGTACTAGGAGTATTAATAGAGATACTATTTAAGTCTAAATTGGATAGAATTTCAAGGAATAGAGTTAATGATTCTTAGATTAGTTTAGCGTACAAATAACTTAAACTCTCTTTACCCAATTAAAAAAAGATGATACTACGTATATTCGTATTTATAGCCAGCTATGACATACAAATTACCATATATAGACAACAGACAAGTAATGTCCATCCAATCCATGTTTTCTTAAAGACACGGGTTTCATGCACCCAAGCAACATAAGCATGTGTAAATTACAAAGATATATATGGGCACGCAAACCAATATCTATTCACAAACAATAACGAATTAACTTTCTATGTAAACTATTTACGAATTGACAGGATTTGCTTGATATTGACACATTGCATATTGTCAAGGCATTCACAACAGCTATCTTTATGAATGATTTAGAGCTAGCTGTTTGAAATATACTTTCACATAATCATGAGTCCACAGGATTTGCTTGATATATTCACACATTGCATATTGTCAAGGCATTCACAACAGCTATCTTTATGAATGATTTAGAGCTAGCTGTTTGAAATATACTTTCACATAATCATGAGTCCAAGCTAAAAAGTTAAATGTAGATTTTTTGGACTCCTAAATGTGTAGTAGAAGTTTAAAATTTAAATGGGGTATTAAAAGTGGGAAAGGGGATGGAAGGGGTTAAATATAGAGGGTTGGTTTAGAGGAGTGGGAAAATAAAAAAGAAAGAAGAAAAAAGAAAGAAAAAAGAATACGTAGTAGAAAGGACGTACGGTCAGCGGCGGACGCAGGATTTCCCGATAGCAGGGGCGGCAGTAGAAGAATATACATACAAATACATATATATTAAAAATTTCGGGGTAAATATACCTAGAATTTTTTTTTTCCGGAGGGGCGGCAGCCCCTCATTGCCCCCCTTTGTGTCCGCCGCTGCGTACGGTCGTACGGAGGTTTCATTGTTTGTGGGTAAATTATATCATACAACCGGTTGTACCTAGGGCATGGTACAGCCGGGTTTTTCTGAAATTAGTTTCAACTTTGAGGGCAATATATATGTTAGTTGTTGTTCTTTACTTCTTTTGTCCGCTGCAGTACGTATCAACCTGGGCACTGATTTCCGCCGCATGCAGTACTCCGCCGGGTTTTCTTGATCGTTTCTAACTCCACCTGGGCCGCATACACTACTCCACCTGATTTCTGCCGCATGCTGATTTCCTTTTTTTTACTCCTTTTCGTTTATTGCTTTTTAATTGTTTGTTCTCTTTCTGCTTTTTTTTCTTAGCAACATCAACTTTAATTTTATTTTCAATTATTATGAAGTGTCTCAATCTTTTTCTTTTTCCAATCAAACTTTTATTCTTTTATTTCTGTATTATAACATATTTTAGGTATTAATGTTTTATTTTTCTATTTTAATTTACAATGAATATTTATTAGTTTATTAAATAGTATGTGTTAATTACTAACATGAGTTATGTGTTATATTAAAATGAGTATAGTGAAAAATAAATATGCTTGAGTAAACATTATAAAAACAACTCAATCCCAATTATATTTGTAATTCGAGAACGAAAGACTATATTATTTTAACATAAAATTACTATATTTGTGATTATATGTGCATAAATGAATATTTGAACACATTAGAGAATTCAAATGAGCTTTGAATTTTTTATGCTCATTTTGTAAACCATATATGTTCATTTGACATTGGGTTTATGCTCATTTTACAATGTCATGTTAATGCATATTTTAAAAGTATCATATTTATATACATGGGAGCAGAGATCGTGATACTCAATTGCATGCTTCTGATACTCAATAGAGAATGTTTGATGTTCAATAAGATGTTTTGATATTCAACTAACAAAGCTTATTTGGTAAGTAATGTATGCTCATTGTGTACCAATATTATGCTCATTTTAAAATGTTATATCTATGCATCTTAAATTTGCATGAGAGTTGATTATAGACACGAAAGTAGAGATCATGATACTCAATTGCATGCTTATACTACTCAATAAAGGAGTTTTGATGTACAATGAAAATGTCTTGATGCTCAACTAACAAAGCTTATGATTTTCATATCATTGCTCATTTGGTAAGTAATGTATAATCATTTTGTACTGGTGTTATGCTCATTGAGTATCTGAATACTCAATAGACCGAAATGATCATAATAGGATTCAATTATAGACCCGAGAGCACAGATCATTATACTCAATTGCATGATCCGAATACTCAATAGAGGGTGTTTGATGCTCAACTAACAAAACTTACAATTTTCATATCAATGCTCATTTGTACATTACATATGCTCAGTTGGTACGGATGTGCTCATTTTTAAAATGTCAAAACATTGCATATTTCAAAAGTACGATATTACATTAGATTCACATATTGAAATTCATAGGAATTGATTATAGATATAATTTAATGAGTTTTTATAAAATAAAAAATAAGGAAAAGAAAATGAATTATAATATATGAAGTTGATATCACAATACTCATTATTTGACTCTAAATGCTCAGTAGAACACGTTTGATGCTCATTAAAAGTGTATTAATGCTCATCTAACGAAAACCGCGATTTTCACTGAAATTACGAAAATGCCACCGTTTTTAGTTGTGATATCAGCTTTCTTGTAATAAAACGGAGCTCATTATTGGACGCTTAATACTCATTAAAATTCGACTATTGCTCATTAAAAGTACACTAGTGCTCATTTAGCAGAAACCGCGATTTTTACATTATTACAAAAATGCCACCGAATTATTTTGTTATTTTTACTTTGGGCCTGTTACTGGGCCGGTTGTACGGTGCTCACCATACAGCCGGTTGTATGATATACGTACTCTTGTTTGTGGGATGATGCCATGCTATATCATCTTTGCATCATAAAATCCCATTTTTTTAAAAACTTATACAACTTTTTTATTTTTTCTCCAAAATTTTCAAAAATATATCAAAATCTATAAATTTTTATGATCTTTAATATGACACCAATATGTAATATATAAATTGGAAAAAAACTGAAGTTTAAACTGTTAAAGTTTTCTTGAACCCCAAAAAAACATGAAACACAAATTTTTAATTCATGGAGCCTTCACAAATAATTGAATATTACACAATTGAACTTTACTTGAACTAAGTTCATTTTTTGTTAATCGGAAAATTTTTAAAAATTGTTGAAATTTATTTATTTTTACACCGAAATGTGTATTTATTATTTCATAATTATTCAGTGAAAGAATTAAAAGGAAAAAATTATTTATAATAATTTAATTAATGTTGTACTAAATTTGTATGTAAAAAGATATGTTGAATGTGTTTTATTGACGGTGCTGGAATGCAGAGAAATGAGAGTCTAAACATTGTTTTCATATGGTCGGAGTCCATTTTTAACATTGTAGCCCCTCAACCACTACAAATGGTCTAAGTGCTAGTATAAATAGGGTATTATTGTTTCCTTTTACGAAATCCTTGTGAGCTGGAGGAGTTAGACATAATATAACTAAGTACGGAAATGGAAAAGTATATGTGCTTTATCCAGCCAGGCAATAAGCTAACGTTAAGTGTGGCGGTGCCTTTGCTTCACTTGCTTTGCCTCTTTGCCCCATTCTGTTTCAGTTGGGATGCTCTTGGGATCGCGTTCGGGTTATACATTCTCACCGGCCTTGGAATCACTGTCTCCTATCATAGGAATTTGTCCCATAAGAGTTTCAAGGTTCCCAAATGGCTTGAGTATTTTCTTGCTTATTGGGGTGTTCAAGCTCTTCAGGTTTTAATTAATTATTATGATCTTGCTCTTGTATCTTTTATGTACTCTATATCTTATAACATACTAGTATGTGTTAAGATCTGGGTATCCTTCCCAAAAGGTTAACCTGATAAGACGAATAATCTAGATCTTAATAGAGCACTTAATTCTTTCACAAGTTTCCGGAGGGAAATCAACACATTATGTGCATACACAGTTGCATATTATAATTCATGAGCGTTACTTATTAACAATTATGTAAATCTACATTAAGATTTCTCAAGTTTATGAACTTATTTATTTGTATCGGATTTCAAATATTAATTTAATCTCATCACAAGACAAATATTTTAATTAGCGTATATTCTATTAATTAGTTCATTGGTTGCAATTTGCAAATGGTCATGCACTTGAAGGTATGAAGTACGTACTTCTGTGTGGTATATGTGAATTCATGGTATATCACAAACGTGAGCACACACAAATGGTTAAGTGCACAATATTTTTAAATATGTTATTCGTTTTATTCCTATATACATAGGGGGATCCAATTGGTTGGGTGAGTAACCATAGATACCATCACCGGTTTACTGATTCAAAGAAAGATCCTCATAGTCCCATTCAAGGGTTTTGGTTCAGTCACATAGGATGGCTCTACGACTCCGAATCCGCCAAAGCGAGGGTACCAATTATTTTTTTTAGTAATAATTAACCAAATTATCTTAACTAAATATTACTACGTACGGAGTATAATGTTTACAGCTAGTGTGCGTTAATTAAGTTATACGGAGTATATTACTCGTATTTGGTTTGTGGGTACTTGCAGGCTTTGCAGCGTGAGGAGCAAACAAATGTAGCGGATTTGGAGAATCAGGCTTTCTATAAATTCATTCAAAAAACCTATATTATACACCATATTATGCTTGGAGCATTTCTTTTTTCAATTGGTGGATTTCCGTACATAGTTTGGTGCATGGTATGTGTGCATTCGTTGTGGTTTTAATTATTATCATCATTATTATTTTGATATAATAAATTTATTGATGATTAATAAAGGGTTGGCTTGCTATTGACTTTACATATAGGGAGTAAGAATTGTATATCTAGGCCACATAACATTCCTGGTGAATTCTGTGTGCCACATGTGGGGACATCAAGCATGGAACACTGGTGATCTATCTAGAAATAATTGGTTAGTTTATTGAATTCTTGTTTTAATGTTTTTATCACTAGAAGATGATTCCAACTCCACCGGATCAATTCCAAGTTCTCACTTTCCAAGAATCTACTCAAACTCTTAAGAAATCTAAATCCGAATTTCTCAGCTCGAACAATTCACAAGATTTTCACCATAATCTATGCACCACCGTGCACAAAAAATCGTTCTAAACAAATTTATTGCACGAGTCCTCAGGCTCCCGGCACTCAACTCCCGTCACTAATTTGTCAATCATTACCATGTTTCCAACAAGAAGCTAACTCACAATTGCCGCTTGAGCCGAGACAATACAATGATTGTGTGACCACTCGAGCTAGCTTTGGGGCTCGAGTATTGGGTGAATATTTAGCACATGTCACCCTTTGTATGAAATCTCATACGGAGCTCGTTTGGTAATATCAAAATTGACTGTGTTGACTGATTCTGCTGAAATTTATGAAGTTCGGGCTAGAGTGGTTGAATTAGCTGATCCTACTGAATTATGAAAAACAGTTAAAATATATTTTATTCACCCAATGCATCCAGAAAATTAACTTCAACTTTACCTTTTCTTATTAATACACAATTCAGTACGCAAAATAAAAAGTTACCACCTACGTCCCACTTTATGTGTCCTACTTTGTTTTGGCACAACTATTATGGAGGTGTTTACTTCGCTGTTAAAGTCACAGTTAAGTTAGTAAGACAGGTGAAGTAAACAAGCACGCTGCTTAAAAAGCCGCTTACTAACCGAAAGAAGTGCTTAAAGTGCCGCTTACTAAGCATACCACCCATGTATTAATTAAGCGGCACTTTAAGCTTGGCTAAAGGGTCAAATAGGTACATGAACTAACTTAAAGTGTTCAATTAGCCCCTTATATAGGAGGTTCTGCCCAGCCATCGCCAATTGGAGCGGTTCCCGGTGGAATTTTTTGATGGAATTTTTTGAGAATCATCTTCATTAAGTCTACTTTACCCATACCAAATTTCAACTAAAAATTCAATCGGGAAAGCAGTCAAATGATTTTTTGAAGATAACTGTGTAGTTAAACAGCGCAATACATTTCGGAAAATCATTTGACTACCTTCTCGGTTGACGTTTTAGCTGAAATTTGGTATGGGTAAACTAGACTTAATGAAGAAGATGCTCAAAAAAATTCATCAAAAAATTCAACCGCGAACCACCCCAATTGACGATGGCCGGGCTGAACCTTCTATATAAGGGGCTAATTAAACACTTTAAGTTAGTTCATGTACCTATTTGACCCTTTAGCCCTTTAAGCTTTTTTAGTTTCTGAATTTACCCCTTGCCCTTACCCTATTAATACCCCTCTACCTACTACCCTGCCCAAACCCTACTACCCTGACCCCCACCCCTACCTACCCCGACCCACCCTACCCTACCTTAACCCAACCCACCCTAACCTACCTACCCCTACTAGGGATGGCAACGGGGCAGTTCGGTGACGGTTTTACATATAACCGTACCCGCCCCATTTGATAACTCCCCGCCCCATAACCGCCCCGTTACCCAACGGGTAATTTTTACCCAAACCATATCCGCACCAACGGGTAACAGGTATAACCGCGGGTAACCGCGGGTAATCACTTTATTAAATGAGTCATTGATATTTTAATATAAAAATAATATTTTAAAAGCCGAAAAATGGCATCACCTAGATGACTCTAGACTGAGACGCAACTTTCAAGTTTCGTATGTCTACAAGACGAGAAAGAAGACAACATAAATTAATTTGAACCTAAAAATACTTAATCTGAAAAATAATTGTTGACTAAAAAATCTGATAATAAACAAACAATACTATTAAGATCTATTATGAACTCTCATTGAAACATTATAGTTAGTGCATCTATTATCCATATACCCAATGAAAATAGAAAAATCTCATCTTCTATTACTTATGGGACAAATAATCGATAAAAATATAATAAAAATATAACTAAAAATAAACGGGGCGGGTACGGGGTGGGTAATGGGGCGGACATGTATAAAACCGTAACCGCCCCATTACCCGTAAAAACAAAACGGGTATTCCCCGCCCCATACCCGTTACCCGGTCAATGCGATTTTCCCCGTTTTGACCGGGGCGGTTCGGTGCGGGTATCCATCGGATCGGTCACAATTGTCATCTCTAACCCCTACCTCGGACCCACCCTAACTACCTACCCCCTACCTCGGACCCACCCCGACCCCACCCTATCGCCATCTACGTTACCCGACCTCATCCGACCTCACCCGACCCCACCCCTACCTACCCCTACCACATGCTCCTACCTTGGCCCCACCCTGACCCGACCCCACCCTACCCTACCTTACCCCGATGCGACCCCTTACCCTGCCCTACCCTACCTTACCCCTCACCACGACCCTACCCCACCCCCTACCAATTGCCCTTACCTCAGCCCCCACCACATGCCCCTACCTCGGCCTCACCCCGATCCCGACCCCACCACTACTGTCATCCTACCCCCACCCACCCGCCTAAGGGTAGGGTAGGGGTCAAGGGTGTGGAATTGGGGATAGGGTGTAAGGTAGGGGTAGGGGTGGGGGTATGTGGGGGTATAGGGCGGGGCAAGGGGTTAGGGGTATGGGAACACGTACAAGATGACCCCCACATATTATATTATTATATATTTGTGTTCATGAATGTTTGTGTGTCTATATATGTATAGGGTTATTTTGGACATTTTAATGTTAAATGGTGCTTTAAACCCGTTGAAGTAAACACGATCTTACAACATTGCTTATTAACGCAGGTCTTAATAAGCACCGTTTAGTAACCCGTGAAGTAAACATGTCCTAATAAAGTGGTTGAAAAGTTGAAGTTATGGTTGAGATTTGAGTATAATAAAGGGAAATGATGTAGATAATATACTACCTTCGTCCTGGTGGACTTTGCCAAGTGCAAAGTAGGTGGGAAGTATGAATAGTAAAAATTGTATGATTGAGATTTGTGCAAAGGAGAGAGAAATGTGCAAAACCACAAATTAGTTGTTTTAATAGGAAAGTGACAAAGTTTTTTGGGACAACCAAAAAGGAACAATTGGCAAAGTCCAATGGGACGGGGGGAGTATTTCTTTTCAAAAAAAGAAATGAGACAATTATTTTGGAACAACCCAAAGAGGAAAGTAGGGCAGGTAAAATGGGACGTAGGGATATCTAATTCTTCAACCATGGGTGCCATGTAACCATTTTGGCACCCTTAAATACAAGAGTTGGAGCAAAATGAGAGTGAAAACATCAAAATTGCATTTTGCTCTTATGGTTTGCGGTCTAATACCGAACTTCTGGCCATGCAACAATTAACTCTGAGATACTATGTACTATATGCGCAACTCTTCTATGTTTAATATCTTCATAATTGTATTTGGGGCCTTGGGTATCTATATTACTATTATTATTATCATTATTATTGCATGTTAGAGTAATTAATTTTTTATCAGGTTTGTGGCATTGTTAGCATTCGGAGAAGGATGGCATAATAACCATCATGCCTTTGAGCACTCGGCAAGGCATGGTCTAGAATGGTGGCAACTTGACACAAGTTGGTGCACTATTTGGACACTTCAAAAACTTGGTCTTGCTAAAAATGTGAAGTTACCTTCAGATGCTCAGAAAAGAAAGATGACATTCAGAAATATCGACAACTCCAAACTGTCGAGTGATGGGTTTCCGCAGCTACCTCTTAAATAAATTGCCATGTTGAGTCCATATTGTACCACCCGTCGCGTCACGTTTGGTCAAGTATCCATAATTTAATGTATGTACGAGTTGTTTACTTTTTTTCTATCAAGTCCAAGCTGGTTCTGGTTTGTGAATTTCATTGTATTATCTTTTTTTCATTTTAATGTCCTTTTTCTTATCATGCGTTTTGTTCTCTGTTCTGTTCTTCAAATTTATAGTATAATGATGAACATATTTTATGTATTTTCCCCTCAGAATTCATATGAATCTTTTTATTTTGTCATTTCAGATTGGGTTTTTTACAAGAATATTACTAAAATAAAACTTATTTACATAAATATGACTATTCATTACTACAACGTAGTATTGTAATAACTTAAGTTCAAAACTTGAACATGAATTACTATGATTTCATTACTACTCTAGTAATGAGTCATATTTTTGTAAATCGTCTTTATTTTGATCATATTTATGTAATTATTTCATTGTGGTTAAAAATGACTATAGGCTGTAACACGATCATTTTCTTGTTCTACAATCTTAAACTATTTAATACTACATACTATATCCTCTTTGTTTACTATATTTTGATGCTGGTAAAAGGGGATAGGTGATTATTTTCATTCTGTTGAATGTTACTAATATGGTAGCATTTTCTGAATACTTTATTATTTCTGTTCTTTTATGGATTGTGGCTGATCTGTTTTGGTTGGGTAATCATATTTTTGTTTTGAATATAGAGGTCACGTAATTCCTTTTCGCAGGTGGCCTTCTTTGTAAAGATATGTACAGTATTATCCATCTTGCATAGATTTTTATCTCCCTCAAGATGGAATAATTACTCAACTGCTAATTATTTATACTTCGTCCCTTAAAACTTTGTCAAGTTTAACCGGCACGATGATTAATAAAATAAAAACTATATGATTGAAGTTTATGCAGAGCGAGAGATTTAACAGGAACCACAAAGTTTTTACTTAAAAGACCGGGGAGGTGGCAAATTAAGTTAGTGGAACAATAGAAATGGGAAAGTTGATAAATTTTTAAGCGATGGAGGGGGTATTATTTATTTTGCAGGCAAGGGATTTACTTGAAGACAATGATGAAAATAGAACCAAATTTTGCACACATGCTTTCTCGTTGGAATATAATGCTTCTAATACTTCGGATTCTAGTAGTGACTTGTGGATACTTTTAATATAAATGGTTGTTTGATTATATTAAGACTTGATCAGAGATATTGTTCGAGTGTATTTTCTAGATAATTTCTTTGTATTTTTTGGTGCAGATTTTATATGCAAAGATATTGTCTTTAGACTTGATAGGTTAATATGTGGTGTGTACCAATGTAAAAGTATTTGACATACACACGGGAGCATTCAAATAAAAAGGAGCTTTAACGTGAAAAATGAGAATTAATCTCAGCCGTTCAAACTTTAAAGAGGTGTGAGATAAATATCCCAAACTCTAATATGTAATATGTGTATTTGTGTGTGTGTGCGCGCGTGTGCGCCCAAGACTTTACATAAAAAGTTACTTTTGCACTACGATTATATATTTATGGAAAATGTTTGGTGTACACATTTTGGTGTACACCTTTCGTAAACTCGTATGTCTCACACATAGAGAGTTGTCTGTCCACATTTTGGTGTACATGTGTGAACTACCAGCTCTATATTTTTTACAAATATAAATTTAAAAATAATGAGTATAAGCAAGGGAAATCCCCATCCGTGTGAGGTTTAAGCAAGGGAATGCCGAGCCCTCTACAGTGCGAAGTACCAGGTCCAGGTTGGCAAACACAGATGAGGATTCCCACCCCTAACTTCTGGGAAGGATCCAAAGTGTTCGGCCATACCTGGGGATGATTCTGCCTTGATTACTGCTACAAAGGATTCTATATGAGTTACTGTTGCTATAGAAGGTGCTGCTATTAAAGAGGTTATGATAAGTCCGTATTTTGACACGCATTTGATGCGTGTTGGGATTGGTTTTTGATGGTTTTCCTAGATTTAAGGTGTTGCAAGTCTCAATTTTAGCTCAAGTTATGTTTACCCGGCGTTGGTTCGAGTTTTGTGTCATTTGGAGTCAAAATCAGGAATTTAGAGTTCGACACCGGCGCTTAGGAGCAATCGGGATGATTCGAGATGCATTTGAGAGTGACTGAGAGATTTGGAGGTCACCGGGAGGTTTACGATAAAGATTTGATGACAAAAGAGCTCTAGGATTGGCTACGAGATCAAAAGAAGACGAATAGAGCTTGAAAACGACGATCAGTATGACCTTCTGTCAATCGTTCAAGCATATCTCTCTGTAGAAGCATCCAAAGTACACGATTCAAGTTGCATATGAAAGCCAACTTCAAGGGCTACAATTCATATCAGGACATCATTCTGAGAATCTTAGAGGAGCAAGGTGAAAACAGATAATGAAGTCAGGTGATCCTTGTTGCGATTTCAGAATGCGACCTTTCACCGTTTTGATCATATCTTTTGATTGGATGATTCAAATCCATATCGGAAAGTTTTGGTGGATAGAGTATTTCATTATCTAAAACTTTCATGAAGGATGTTTTGTCAAATTCGGACTATAGAAACGGTGAAAAACAGGCCACGCACGATCGTGCCTGAAGAGACGCACGATCGTGCGTGAAAGAGAAACTCGCGTGGAACTACTGGAAGCCAGACACGATCGTTCCTGGCAGGATAGGCATGATCGTGCCTACCCCCATGTTACGCGAAAATTCGTCCCAGTTCGGCCAGAATTCCGATTTTCCCCCCTTTTTCTATAAATAAGGCCTCCATACCCCTTTTTGGGTATTACGAACATTACGAAGAGACCTAGGGATGAATTTACTTGTGTTTTTACGTTGTTTTCTTCAAGAACCTTGGGATAATTTGTAAGTTCATCTTCTTAATTAATGACAATTATTTCTATTCATCCCAATTATGTTGATTCATCAATTATGAATTGTGAGTAGTTTAATTAGGGATTTGGGATTGATGAAGGGGTTGATCATGATGTATGGCTAGATTCTTGATGGTTTAATTGCATGAACGTCATTTGATTTGTATTTGAATAATTTAACTGATATCTCTTGTAACCTAGATGGCCACTACCACACATTCACACACACTTAATCGTTCGCTAAGAGATTAGTAGCGATTAAGAGACCGTAAGCTCGCTCGTTTTATTTGGAAGTAATTTAGGATCCTGTCGCATGAGAGATCAGCCTGGTCCCCTAAATTATTGTACTCTACGCCGCGAGAGCGGTAAGAACTTAGTAATGATTAGCTAATCTCAATTAAATCAATTTCATGTAATTAGGCCTGATCTGCCAGAAATCTGGTTACCTCAGAATCAATCTCTTTTCCCTTCGTCGTTAATTAAAGAGAAACCAATCTTTTATTTTAATCGCTCATTCGCATTATTTTATTTTCAAATCAACCAATCTCTCACAATCGCATTTTATTTTATTTTATTTATTTTTAATCGTTGAATTTAATTAATTCTTGATTCCCTTTTGTCCGTCCATGTGGAGACGATACTCGTACTTACACCACTATAGAGCGGTAAGTACTCGACTATTATGTCAATGACACATTTGGTACTCGACTTCTAATTGTTCCATTTTTAGTCCTTGACTATATATTGTGCTAGAGACACTTTTAGTCCCCGACTTCATGGTTTCCCACATTTAGTCCCTGAGTATTGTCAAATTGACATTTTTAGTCCTCCCATTATGATTTTGACACAATAAGTGGAGGACTAAAAAAGTCACTATTATAATAGTTGAAGGACCAATAGTGTCACTTTTATGAAAGTTGAAGGACTAAATATGGAAATTTTCAAAGACGGGTACCAAAAATGTCTCTAGTGCAATAGTCAAGGACTAAAAATAGAAAAAAACAAAGTCGAGTATCAAAAATGTCAATGACATAATAGTCGGGGGACTAAAAGTGGAAAAAAATCCACCACTATATTACAATCTATTTTAAGTACATCAGTTTTTGGCGCCGTTGCCGGGGACGGTGTCGGTTTTAAGGGTTAATTAATTTCAAATGTTCATACATAAAAATAGGGCAACGGAGGATGTCAACATTTTCAAATGTTTACACTTGACTCTTATTAAGGGTCCTTGCAAAAGTAACCTTCAATTAAAATTGTTTGAGCTAAAAAGTGAATGAGAGTCTAATATTTGATGATGGTAAATTGAATCTAGTAATAGAAACTCATCACAAGCTTTTTCGTCATGTATCATTTGAGTCTCGATGATATGAGCTCCAAGATTAGTCACCAAAAGTCGTGTACCATTTAGGCATGGACCGGGTCGGGGTCGGGTCGGGCCCCAGACCAGGATTGGAGGGGACTGGGGATTTGGGCTGAAAGCCCGGTATCGGTCCGGGTTTGAGCCGAGACCGCCAGGCCGGGTCGGGTCGAGTCGGGTCTTTTTTTAATATATTCCTACCCCCCTCCCCCCCAAACCCCGCCAAAACACCTAGCCCAACCCACCTAGCAGCGGCTGACGTGCACTTTGTCGTAGTGTGCACTCAAAATAATAATACAATACAACACTTATACGTAGTATAGCGTAGTAAGGTTCGTATCCACAGGGAAAGGAATACTTTTCTTTTTATAAAACTAGTAACAAAATGGGGGGTTTTAGTTTGATTTGGTTTAATAAATTAAACACGAAGATGAACGAGTTATGTGGTTTAATTAATGAGAAGAAGACTTGGCTTTGCTTTTATCCACTTAATGAAATGTTCGTCGATCCCGGTTATATCTTTAACTATCTTCCTCTCGAATACTCAATCGAGGAGTATATCCAATTCATCGAGGGTAGTTATTAATAGGGAAATTTATAGGGATATGACTAAAACTCAAAGAGTTTCTCAATTTATAACCTAACTAGTTTTTATACCTTTGTATGACTGAAAATCCAAAAACAAATAGAAAATTCGTTTATATTTAAATGTTGAATGACAAAAATACCCTTATTTAAAATATGTGCATTGTGCACTAATTTCGTCCAATTAAAATTATTACACTTTATATTGCCGTTAATGCACAACATTAATGCATAACATAAATGCACGACATTTCTGCACATTCAGTAATAATCATTGCACTTCCGTCAAAATTAGTTCTCTTCACATTCACTTTAGGAAATTATTTTTATTTTTTATTTTTTTGATTTAATGATTTTATTATTTCACATCTAATTAAGTATATTGCATTTCAATGCTCAACA